AACGCTACTGAAGTCTGCCCGACGGAGGCTCCAGAGCCGTGCGACGAGTGCCCTGAGGGCAAGTACATCGTTTCGAACCCCTGCGAGTGCGAAATCTGCAATGGATATACGCGCAGGCGTATCGGGCAACGTAAGCCTTGACCTGACCACATAGACGCCTTCTCCTCCTTCTCCTCCTCCGCTTGGTCCGGCCATGCTTTTCTGGGCTATTGTTGAACCGTACCCCATTGCCCCCGTGTCCTTTCTCGATCTGGTCATGGCTTCCTGCGTCTCCAGGCGCCGCTCCACCGAGTGCACCTCCTGCGAGGAAGGCTATGGGCCCGGCTGCGAAGATTGCGACGACTGCAAGGACATTTACAAACCTCCAGCCAAGGGTGGGAACAACTCGGTGAACATTACTGTGGACGTCCCGTATCAAACGTGCACCGAGTTCTCCCTAGGAGACCCTATAACCATCACTGGAAGAAGATCAAGTGATCCGTCTATTATTATCACGCATTCGACGGTCGTGATGGGGATTACTCCCATTCTCGGGGGGTATATACTCGATCTTGCCGTGCCGCTTCCTGAAGACTTTACCTATGACACCTCCGTTTCGCAGACGTGCACTTCCACCGACGGGACCCAGGTGAGTTCCTCATACTCTCCCTCTGCCGCTGGCTGTTGCTGCGCATGTGGCACTGATTGCTGCGAGACAACTGAGGTGTGCACTGTCTACCCCAACGGCACTGGTGTGTGCTCCAATGCTGGCCCGTACCCCGAATTCTCGACTCCAGCCCCGACAGTCGGGGCCAAGGGTGACCCGCACTTGGTCAATCTGCAAGGAGAGCACTTCGACATCAACCACGAGGGTAAGTTCGCACTGCTCCGTTTTCCTCAAGCTGCCGAGAAGCCGGCCGAGTTCGCGTTGCAGGCGGGCATTCAGGCGGACGTCGGGAAGCCATGCACCACGTACATTACGCAGGTGGAGCTCTCGGGCTCCTGGCTCGGTGGCAAGTCCGTGCAGGTTCGCTGCTATCGCCGATCCCATTCGAACGACACCGACGCCTTCCTCGGTGCTCGCCTGCTCGAAGGCGATAGTGATTCTCCCTGGCAGACTATCGAGGAGTTTCAGGCGAAGGAGCTTGTGCTCTCCGATCCGGAGTCGGACATCGAAGTTTCACTAGACAAGGCAACGTGGTTTCCCAAGAAGCGCTCAAAGAAGGGGCCGATTGCGGCCGGTATGTTCACCCTTTCTCTGCGCAACAAGAATAGCCCGACCGGCGCCAAGATCACTTTGCGCCAGGACCTGCCCGAGCAGGAGCACTTGAACGTGGCGGTGCGGCAGCTGTCCCAGCTCGGCCGCGTCGATGTCGGTGGGCTGCTCGGTTTCGACGCACACGCGGAGAGCCTTGAGCGCCCCTCTGCCGCGTGCGTCCACCACAGGGCCACGGCGCGCTACCGCATCGAGAGCCAGGACGAGGTGGAGCACGGCTATTACTTCAAGCCGGCATGGAAGGACCGCTGGGACAAGATTCGGGCGGCTGGGCGCCCTGCGGACAACGAGGCGGCCGCCAGCCTGGTGGGCAAGTTCGACGACAATGACCCGGGGGTGCGTCAAGTGTCCACCTCACCGATCCCGGGCATGATGGGCCTGTTTTCCACCACCACCACCATAAGTTGGAGGGGGGAAGGAGGAGGAGGAGGAGGAGGAGGAGGAGGAGGAGGAGGAGGAGGGAAGGAGGAGGACCCCCTCCCCCTCCTACTTCTGGTGGTGGCGGTAGAAGAAGACAAGACCGCCAGGGCGGGCCCAGGATCGGCCGGGGGCCGGGGTCGGCGGGGCGGACAGTCGACGGAACCCCTGGTGGAGGACGTCCTGGGCGGCAGGATGTGCAAGTGCCCCAGCGAGGACGGCGGGCTCCCCGGCGGCAGCGTCGAGGGGGTGCTCGTCGAGGAGGCCAGCTTCCTGTTCGCCGAGGCGTCCTGGGAGTGAGCCGCCGCGCGGCGGGGCTGCGGCGCTCCCGGCGGAGGCGAGGGCAGGGGAGGAGGGAGGAGGACGCGGACGCGGTGGGCGAGCGGGAAGTAAGTCTCGGGTCGGGCGAAAGGGGGGGTTGGGGAAAGGGGGGGTTACGAAATCTGCTGCATGCAGCTGGTTTCGGCTCCGCCGCCGGGCCCATTCCTCGATACATGGGCGCCTCCTGGCGCCGGGAGGCGCCAGGAAAATCAGCTACGTGAGCTGATTCTCAAACCCCCCCTTTGCTATCCCCCCCTTTCGCCCGGCCCGAAAGTCGGGGGCGAAAAAGAGGGGGGTGATAACTAGGGGGGGTGGGATATCATGGCGCGGGCCAGGATATCTCCGAAGATTCCATGGCGCCTCTTCTTGTTTCATTACGTCCCAGGCCCCCCCGCTGGGCCGCGCACATGCCGCCGGTCATGATTTGCACCCCCCCCTCTTGGACACCCCCCTCTTGGCCGCTCCCGAGTAAGAAGGAAGGAGGCCGAGCAGGACAACGTTTTGGGCCGTGGGGGCAGTATTCCGCCATGTAGGGGCCTCCTGGGAGGGCCGAGTGGGAGTACGTTCGAGGACGAAGAAGGAGGTCAAAGAGGAGGGCGCCGACGACGTGGACGAGGAGGACGGAGAGACGTGGCCGAGGAAGACGAAGACAGGGAGAGGAGGACGGCCCGGACGAGGACGACGAGGAGTGGAATGGAATGGGCCACTTCGCGATGCGAATCTCCAGAACACATGCCGCCCGCGGGCCGCCCCGAGGATAACAAAGATCCAGGATAACAACTGCGCGAATTGGAGCGCCTGTGATGAGTTCACCATGGTCCTGGAAGCCCAGCGGCTTGTAGACAAAATCAACGCGAAATGCCACGATGCCACACCGCCGCGAGTATTGCACGGGACTTTGACACGCAGTGCCAGTCGGTTCGGCCACCGAGACAAACCCAAGTGATCCAAATTGCAGAGGCAATGAGCGCGAACACCTCGTGAAGCAGAACGTGGCGAACCACACAAACTACCAAGGCACGTCACCCCACCACGCCTACAAACAACACTGAACCAGCTGAGTTTACCCTATTTCAACAGACCCGCATGCTACAATTGACGAATCACACAGCCAGCCAGCTACCAGATCATGCGCCTCCCCAACAGGCCCTGCATGATTTACAGTGCAAGTATAACATTATGAAGTATTTTAGAGAGGTGCCTTGAAATGATTACCGAGACTGTGTGCGCAAAAATCAACCAGGCATGATGACTAGCGGGACACTTTGCACGATGATTTGGACACGGCCGCCTCGGACCTAAATACATCGAATCATCAAAACTGCAGTAGCTGAGTACACACGGATCCAAGGCTAAGGAACACAGCAATCCGCTTGAAGGACGAAAGAGCGAGCCCAGGGTTGAGAGAAGAGCACGGCCACTCGAAATCTTGCGGCATGCGATTGAGGAGAAAGTCCCATCGCATTCCGACCGTCAGGGCAGGCAGGAGGAGGAGGAGGACCCAACCCGCAAGACGGAGAGCCACAACCGAGCCTGACTGAGGTAAACGGCCACTCCGCCCCTGCGGCGTGCGGCGAGGCCACAAGCGCCCCCCCCCCCACCTCCGACCGCCGCCGGAGGGCCGCAAAATCCCCACCGACAACGCGCAGGGCCCGACCGGCGCACCGGCCACCACAGTGACTGCCCACCGCCACGTGCCCGTCGCAGCGCGCCCGCCCTCGCCGCCGCCACTCGTCCGCAGACGTGCGGTCCACCCGCATAGCAGGGATGGGCAACCTCCTCCTCCTCCTCCTCCTCCTCCTCCTCCTCCTCCTCCAAGGGTACCCTGGCATCCTTGCCTCCTGGGCCCCTCCTGGACTGCCTCCGTCGGCCGCGCCTCGCTCGCGGCGCCTCCGAAGCGGCCCTCACAGGGCCACGGCGCCCTCACCGCGCGTCCTTTTTTGCGGTGCGGGCCCGGCTGCAGCACGCTGGCGGCGCGGCGCGCCCTTCGAAAGAGCGCTGCGCGGAGGCGGCGGGCGCGGCGGAGAGGCCCGACGGCAGCCGAAGAAGGCGACCGACGACCCTCGAGCCGCGCGTGCGCGAGCGAGGACGGCGAGGCGAGGAGCATCGGCGGCACCCCAACATGCTGATATTGTGTGAGCGTCGCCCCCCCCAGGGGGCGACGCGCGCACCGAGAAGTCTTGTAGCGTGTGCGTCGTGGCGGGCGCTTTCTGGCCACACGGCTCGGGAAACAATGCACTGTAAGATGCGTATATTATACAGTCGGCCCAGATTAGTAGGTCGACCCTGCCAGCTCAAGGGAGGGTACCCTTTGTGTCCTGTGCCTCGCGACACGTGCCTTCTTACACTCCTATGGCGATGTGGCCCTCGGAAGGGTCTCGTGTCCTCTCGCGTGTCCTGTCCAATGAAGTCCGACTGTACTACAAGATGCGTATACTATCTGTTCGGGTCGGACGCGCGCCTCCGCGGAAGACATGAAGTATGATGATGCCTCCGTTGCGTCCCAGAGCAAGGGCGAGGGACGACGGGAGGGCGAGCAGCCCGCCCCGACGAGCCGACCTCCACGCGGGGTCCCACCCCCCTCGCTCTCGGCCACGAGCCGAGGCCCTCCCCCGTTGGCCTCCTCGCCCTCCCCCCGCGAGGGGCTGGGCTGGAGGTCTGTGAGGTGCACTTCGCCTCTTCGGGGCCAGCGGAGCCGCCCCCAATGTCCAGTCAGAACGCATCCCAGGATGAGTCTGGAGCTCGAGCTGTTTGCCCCAGACGTATGATGTTCCAACCTACTTTAGCCTTGATCGCCAGAAAGAATTTCGAGCGCACCCCAAAACTCGAGGGTTTTCACGTGTCGGGCCCTGGGAGACATTGCTTCGACACTCTTTCGACACTTTTCTGGGAGCTCGAAATTATTTCTGGGATGTGGTCCTTAAGTACGATGGGAGCAACGTAACCCCAGACCCATCTTCCTACCCCCTCCTCCCAGACATCTGGCGCCTCGAGATATTCGACGAGACCAGTTTGTCGATCCTCGCTTCCTCCTCGTCCCCTTTTCGAAAACATGCCAGCCGGCGTTGACCCCAAGCCATGAGTTGTTGGATTGTGGAGGTATGCGGTGTAAGCTATGTGGTGCAACGACGGCGTGCAAGCCAACCCGTGCAGTTGATGTACGTGGTGTGAGCTGGAGGTGAAAGCTAGGCGGTGTGAGCTCAGCACACGGGGCGCCCACGAAGCGGCACAGGCCGCAACGCGGCGCAACCTCGGCGGACCCACCCAGCGCACAGGGCGCCCACGAGCGCGCACGAGGCGGCACCGGCGGCAACGCGGCGCAACCTCGGCGGGCCCACCCAGCGCACAGGGCGCCCACGAGCGCACACGAGGCGGCACCGGCGGCAGCGCGGCGCAACCTCGGCGGGCCCACCCGGCGCACGGCGCGGCCATGAGTGCTCTTGAGGCGGCACCGGCGGCAGCGCGGGAAGAAACATTTGGCGGACCAGTTGTTCATCATAAGAGAGCGAAATAAGAGTCGCAAAGTCCAAGCACTGTCTGGGGACAACCGCCTTGAGCAGGAATTGTCGGAGGTCCACGCTTATCTATTGGATCGACGCTGGTCCCTACCTGCTGGCGGCGCCTCGGGCGCAGCCCACGGCGGGCTCCGCGAGCCACAGGAGTCCCAGCGCCGCTCCGAGAAATCCGCGCGGACCTCCGAATGTCTATGTGCATTTCTTCAATAATGTCCTGAGCATTACCTTGCAGGCTCTCTCCCCCCGCCGAGAGGTGCCTGGCTAAACGTGGCGGACAGAGCGTGGAGTTCAAAAACCTATCGTCCATGCCCCCCTCCCAGATGTCCGGCGCCTCGAGGCGATCGGTGCGGCGAGTCTCTGACCCTCTTGAGCCTTTGGAGGCCAGTCTCGGGCTTCGGGACCGTCGGACGGCTGCCTGGGACGAAGAACGGCCGTGGGGAAGGGACGAATTGTCCGGGGGCCCGCGCATCGGCAGAACGGAGCGCCGGCCTAACATCATGATGATGATGATGATGATGATGATGATGATGATGATGATGATGATGATGATGATGATGATGATGATGATGATGATGATGATGATTATTTATTATTATTATTATGATTATGATGATGATGATGATGCTGCTGATGATGATGATTTCGATGGTGATGATGACGATGATGATGATGATTTCGATGACGATGATGACGACGACGACGATGATGATGCTGAAGCTAATGATGATGATGAGGATGACGATGATGACGATGATGTCTTCTCCAGCGCTGCTGCAATGTCTGGTATTGTCCCGAGGCGCTCGCAGGGTGTACCCCCTCTTGGGGGGGGGTTCCGCCCGGGACCCTCCGGAGGGGGGCACCCCTGGCGGACTGCGCCCTCGACGCCTCGATCCCCGGAGCTTCACCCTCGGCCATCCGGCCTCCGGCGTCGAATGCTGGGCACTACTCCAGATTTCGTAATAAAGGGCAAGAGGACGCAAGGCCCTTCTGAGGGTCATATTGCAATGTGAGTATAGATGGCATGGGTCGCGAAACACAGGACGCGAGGGCACACCTGCTCTGGCAGGGCCGACCTGCTGATCAGCCTCGACTGTGGTAGATCGACATGTTCCTGGCCCCGACTCGTCGCCTCGGCACTCTTCGCCCTGCACTGAAATGCAAGTCTTGACGTACTCCAGATTTCGTAATAAAGGGAGGGGGGTCTCATTTCGGGGGGGGGTCTCCTCCAGGCTATCCTGGAGGGCCTGGGGGGTCTGGGGACGACGTTTTGGAGGGTTCTTCCACGGGGGAGGTCTGAAATGGCTTGTCTTGGAGGGTCCAGGCCCCGTCCCTTTTATTACGAAATCTGGAGTACGGTTGAGTCGGGCACGCCCCTCTACAAGAGGACAGATCAAAAACACAGCCAAAACACAGTCCGGGGACGATCTGGGTCCAAATAGTTCTGACCATGCCTGAATATGCTTTGACTATGTCTGTGAAGGCTCGCCCAGGATCCGGCGATCGCAAGCATGGATCAAGGAGGCGTGGATTAGCGACGGGTTCCATTTCCCTGGGGAATCGCGGATTTCCTCCGCCGAACGAGGCGGCACCGACCGCGTTTTCGGGAGGGCACCTCCCCCGATCCATGGATTTGGCGGCCGCGCGCCAAATCCATGGATCGCGAATCCATGTTTGCGCGCCCCCGGCAAAATCCGCCTGTAGGAGGACAGGGCTGGAGCTAAGCGGTGTTTTCGGCGATCTCGTGGGCCGTTCTCGTTTCGATCCCGTTTTGCGGTGAAGGCGGGCTGAAGACAAAACGAGGGAAAACGAAAACAAAACGAATACGAAAAAACACCGTTTAGGTTCAGCCCGGTAGGAGGACGTGCCCGACCTTACGCTGCGAGCAGAACCCCGGCAGCCCCGCGCGGCGGGCGACAGCTGTGTCGTCGAGTCCGCGCGCCTGCCCCGCAAGAGCTGGGACGGCGCTCGCGCGGCGATGCTCCGGCGCGAGTCCGACGCGCATCCGACTGGCAGCCGACGTGAGCTCGCCGCAGATCTTGGATCTCGAGTTGTCAAGCAGCGGCGAAGCGTCCTGGCGTGCCTATCCATGCCGGTCGTTGAGAGCAGGTATTTCTGGACTCCCAGATCCCAGTCTACTTCAAGCGCCTTCCTACTTCAAGAATCGGGGAATTTTGCTGTGTTCTGTTTTTCTCTGGGAGGGCCTGGACCCAATCCACTTTGTCCGCCTTCCTACTTTCTGTTTTTACCTACTTGTTCCGACCGACGTGTAGTCCTACCAAACAATGTTCTAAGAATATGTTGTGGTTCCCACGAAATGTTCTTAGAACATTTCTGGTTGGGACTGTCTTGCTTCATCACATCGGGGTTATGTTCTAAGAACATTGTTTTTGCTCTTAGAACATTGTTGGGCTCGAAGAACATTTCGTGGTAGGACTAGAGGAATGCCGGGACGGTCGGTCCCTGCTCAAAGTTGGTCCTCGTTTTTATTCATTGTTTTGCGGATCGGCGCGGGCCCCAAAACCCCCCTTCCCCCCCATGGAGTAGATTTTGGCTGTTTTTCGGCGCCTGTCTCGAGCGGGTGGCGTCTCCCCCAGAGGCCGCACTCTTGCAAACAGTCGCTCTAGGCAGGTCTGGATCCAGAACCCCCCCTCTCCCCCCCCTTGCCGCCCAATATCGAAACGCCGGATTCAAAAGCGTTCACTTGCCGCGCGAGGCCCCCAGGATCTTCCTCAAATCCAACCAGAACGAAAAGGCTGCCCTCGAGTCTCCCCTGAGATCCGACGTCTCGAATAAAACGCAACATCGCGAGACCTTACGACCGCGGGGCCCCGGACCCCATCTTCCTGCGCCCCACCTTCCGAGCCGGATCGATCTGTGCGGGCCCCGGGACCCGAACTGATTGGAAAGCGCCCGGCTCGGAAGCCTCGCGACGCCCGGATCCCCGGGTCCGTCTCAGGCCCTGGTGCCCTCGACGCCGCCCCGCCGCCGGAGCCCGTGGAGCCGGGCGCCGTGCAGCCCGGGAAGCCCCGGCGGGAGCCCGCAGGACGGGGCCCGCGCCGCCCATGGCTCGGGCAGGACGAAAGGGGGGGATTGGGAAAGGGGGGGCTACGAAGTCTGCTGCATGAAGCTGGTTTCGGCCTCACCGAGGGGCCCATTCCTGGATACATGGCCGCCTCCGCCGCCGGGAGGCGCCGGGAAAATCAGCTGCGTGAGCTGATTTTCTCAAACCCCCCTTTTGCTATCCCCCCCTTTGGCCCGACCCGAATGGCCGCCGCCATCGCGCCTCGCCTGCGGCCGTTGCCGCCGATCCGCCTCCGGCCGTCGCCGCCGATCCGCCTCCGGCCGCCGCCGCCGCCGCGGCCGCGGTCGCCGCCGATCCGCCCTCGAGGGCGTTCGGCCCCAGGCCTCCCAGACGCCGCGGTCGCGGACGCCGCTCTCGAGCTATGATGTTCCGACCTACAGTCGGGGCCCTGAAGAAGGAACCCTTTTCGTTGGGGAGGGGCTCCGCGTTCCGTAAGTGTTTCGCAGCTTGCCTCAGGTTTTCATTATGTCTTCAACGGGAAATCGAAGGTTAACTTGTGAAAAAAAGGGGCCTCGTTCCTTATTTAGGGTTCCTTAGGTCAACGCCCCGACGGTACTTTAGCCTTGATCACCAGAAAGACGTTCGAGCACACAAAATACCGAGACTTGAGGGTTTTCACGCGTCGGGCCCTGGGAGGCGGCACTCGTTCGACACTGTTTCGACACCTCTTCTGGGTGCTCGAAGTTGTTTCTGGGGTGTGATCCTCAAGTACGATGGGAGCAACACTCTCGAGGGTGTTCGGCCCCGGGTCTCCCAGATGGGGTCCGAGCAGATGGGGTTGGAAGATCGCGCCGCATCGCTGATGCGGCTCGATGAGGAGCCCGAGCATGCGGCGCTGTCCTCCGACCACATCTAATCGTCGGTGAGCGGCGGGGGGGGGAGTGAGAAGGAGAACGCCCTCTCACAGAGGGCGGCGGGGCTTCTCAGAGGCCCTCGCGCCCTCTGAGAAGTGCTCTGTGTCTTCGGGGAAGGGGCCTCGAAAAGCCCTTCTCCGAAGGCCCCGGGGGCTCCCGAGCCTCCTGGAGATGCCCGCCCCCAGTCGCTTCCCCCCCGGACGCGCCGCCCCTCCAAGCTGCGAAGCTGCTCGGGCCCCACTCGGGAGGCCTCTGGCAGTCAGAGCCCCGAATCATCAGGGGTAACTCGGGCCAGGGCTGACTCGGGTTCGCTTGCCGGGATTCCGAACCCGAGTTACCCCGGGCCCGAGTCACCCCGGATGACTCGGGCGCCCATGGCAGAGGTCCTTGGCGGGCCCCCCCCTCTCGCCTCGGGGTGCGCGCGCTCCGGCAGCTGCCCCTCGCCGTGGGAGCGCGCGGCCCCGGGCGGTGCCCAGCGCGCCCCGAGCGTCCGCCGGAGGCCCGAGTCTGCTTGCAGTCTTCGCCTCCGCCGCCGTCGTCGCCGCCGCCTGCGGCCGCCGCAGCCGCCGCCGCTGTCGTCAGCGCCGCCGTCGTCGCCGCCGCCGTCGTAGAGGCTGGCGGCGTCGTCGTCGTCGTCTTCGTCTAATTACGTCTCTCGTCGGGAGGAGGGATGTCGACCATGAGGAGGTGCGGGAAGAGGGAGGAGGAGAAGTGATCATCGAGAGGAGGGGGAAGGACAGGATGGAAAGAGGAGTCAGGAGCAGGAGTAGGTAGAGTAGAAGAAGGCCAGCCTCCGTTCTCCTGTTCCCGCCGCTGCTCCTCCTCCTCCTCTCCCTCCTCCTCCTCCTCCTCCTCCTCCTCCTCCTCATCCTTCTCCTCCTCCTCCTTCTCCTGGTCCAGCCCCCGCTCTCCCATGCCCATCACCAACCAGCTTCTGCTCAGCGCTCCTGCGCCTGATGATGTTTATTTCCCCTGTTCTTGCATTCAAAGAAGAACAAGCTGCATGAACCTAAACTTTCGGAGCGCCGCCTGTCTTTCTTGGATTTGTGCTGGGCCCCCTGGCGGAGCTTCCGGCGCCGCCCTTGGCGCCGAAGGCGCGCCAGGGAGGGCTTCCAACGTAGATCCAGGGACCGAAACAGGCTTCACACCAAGAAAGAAAGCGGAGCAACAGGAGGAGGAAGAGGAGAGAGACAGAGAGAGGATGACGACGAGGTGGATGACGAGGTGAGGGACGCTGGTCAGGTCGACGACGAGGAACAGGAGGAGGAGGAGAAGCAGCGGCAGTAGCAGCACAAGGTCGATGACGATGAGGAGGATGAAGCAGAGGCCGACGAAAAGGAAGAGGCAGAGCAGGGGTCTGGTGAGTCTCCTCCTCCTCCTGGTGGATACACGCCAGTCCTTGAAAGTAATTAGGTATTTCTTGATTCCCAGATCCCAGTCTGCTTCAAGCACCTTCCGACTTGAAAAATCGACATGTGTTTGCTGTATTTTGTCATTTTCTTGGCGGGCCCGAACCCAAACTACTGAATCCGCCTTCCTATTTCATGTTTCTACCTGCTTCTTCCGATGGGCGGGTAAGGCTGTGTTTCATGTTTCTACCTACTTCTTCCGACGGGCGGGTAAGGCTGAGGAGGAGGAGGTGGAGGCGGAGGAGGAGGAGAGTTGGGAGGCGAAAGAGCGGCAAATAGGGCTTATGATAAGGCAGAGGAACAAGGAAACGACGACGACGATGACGACGGCGGCGACGACGACGAATACGACGACGACGAGGGCGAAAGCAGATGCGGTGACGACCACGGCGACGGCGACGACGACGCCGACGACGCTGTCGTCGTCGCGTCGTTCACGTAGCTGCCGCCACCGCCGTCGTCGTCCTCGTCGTCGTCGAGAGGTTGAGCACCGACGGCGGCGGCGACGGCGAGGAGGACGGCGACAGCGGTGCCGGCGACGACGGCGACGAAGACGCTAGCGACGACGAAAGCGACGACAACGATGCCACCGCCGCCGCCACTGTCGACACCGTCGTCGTCTCTGCCGCCGTCCTCGCTGCCGCCGTTGGCGAGTCCGGGCCTCCCAGATGAGTCCGAGTAAATGGGATCGGAGGATCGCGGATGCATCGCCGATGCGGTTCGACGTGGACCCCGAATTTCCCCACGCCGACGTCGCCGATGCATCGCCGACGTCGCCGCTGCGTCGGCGATGCGGCGCGATCCTCCGAGACCCCTTTGGGAAGACGGGCTGCTCCTCCTCCTCCTCCTCCTCCTCCTCCTCCTCCTCCTCCGCCTCCGCCTCCGCCTCCGCCTCCGCCTCCGCCTCCGCCTCCGCCTCCGCCTCCGCCTCCTCCTCCTCCTCCTCCTCCTCCTCCTCCTCCTCCGCCGCCGCCGCGGATGGCGAGGCGACTGCCGAGGCCCAGCCAGGCGCCGCCTCTTAAAGTTGCCGCGGCGGCCGCGCCGCGCGCTCGCCGCTGCCTTCTCGGGCTGGCGCTGCCGCTTCGTGCGGGCACTCTGCGCTGTGGCGCGGCGGCGGTGCCGCCGCCGCCTCCGCGCGCGGCCGCCAGCGACCACGAGTGCGACGACGAGCGCGACGACGACGACGACGACGACGACGACGACGACGACGACGACGACGACGACGACAGGGGCGGCGGCGGCGGCGGCGGCGACGACTGCGACGACTACGTCGACGGCGGCAACGGCGGCGGCGACGGCCACGGCGGCGGCCACGGCGGCGGCCACGGCGACGGCCACGGCGACGGCCACGGCGGCGGCCACGGCGACCGTCGTCGCCCTCGTCGCCTCCGCCGCCGCCGCCGACACCGCCGCCGCCGGCACCGCCGCCCTCGCTGCCGCCCGTGGGGGCGGCGGGCGGCGGCCGCCCGTGGGGCGAGGCCGAGCACCTCGCCTGCCTCGGCTGCGGCCTGCCCGGCGCCTGCGGCGACGCGGCGTCGCCGGCGCGGCCGCGGGCGGCGGCCTGCTGCCGGTGCAGGCCGCCGCCGCCGCCGCCGCCTGCTCTGGACTCGGCACGGTCGGAATGGTAAGACCCGGGTTTGCCAGGACTCGGGTTCGC